CCCTCCCAGAAAGGACTGTGTTAATAACAGCCAAGAGTGGACGGTTTTCTTTGCATGCCCTTCACATTCTCTTGTTCCGGATTCAGTGACGACCACTGAAAGTATGATCAGTCATTTTAGAAGCAGACCAGGTTGGGAACAGAGTACTATTCACCATGCGAAAGGACAGTGAGTGACTTTGGTTCTGTTGGTAGTGATACGTGACTTCTGCAGAGTCATTGACTGTCCAGCGATGGCTTGTTCAGGAGTTTTGAAATGAGATACCCTAATTCTACCACTCCTTTTTCACTTAGTAGCTGAAATACTTCTACAATAAGAAATAGCCCTCCCTCAGTGATGGAATTAACTCTTGAGGTACCATTCTGAACACATAAGCATACCTTTATAATTATTTTTTAACACAAATAAATCAAGTGTCATTGGAGCAGATGCTCCCTATTAGACTTGACTTTTCTTCTGCGATTTCAAGTCCTGTGAAGCATTTTCGTGCCCTTAGATTTAGATAAAACTTAAAAGAATGAAAGTGATTTAAATAATGTCTTAAAATGAGAAGAGATGTAGTAGGTTAATGTGTCATTTATTTCTAAGTGGATTTAGTAGTCCCTGCTGTGGGCATTAGGAAAAGTCGTTAAAGGCTTTATGAGCTAGGTGGTGGAGTTAGAATTTGAACCAGAGCCCATCCTAATTCCACTGTGCACTCTTCCTGGTGGCGAAGGGTGTACGGTACGGTGTGGCACACACCAGCCGGAAGCTATGTTGTGGTGTGGCTGGGAAGTGACCAGGCCCCAGGTGAGGTCTCAGGCAGGATGTCCGCTCCTGGTCACTTGTAACAATTCAGTCTGAGAGGGTTTTTTTGTTTTGTTTTGTCTTAAGATTTTTATTTATCAGTGAGAGAGAGTTAGTGTGTGCATGCAGGGGGAGTGGCAGACAGTGGGAGAAGCAGGCTTCCCCCACCCCCCAGCAGGGAGCCCGATGTGGGACTCCATCCCAGGACTCTGGGATCATGACCTGAGCGGAAGGCAGATGCTTAACTGACGGAGCCACCCAGGCCCCCCTGGTTATGAGTTTTTTAAAGGGCGGAGGGGACTGACCTCTAAGGCTGGGTATGTTAGCACAGAGGCCAATACTTGATGTTGTTCCAGACGCTGGAACTGACAAATTTAGTGCTGTGAATACAGTATGCATCTCCAAAATTTGTATGCGTATTTGTGGGTATAAACTATTGACAGGGCAAAGAGTTCTGCTTTGCTTTAAATTTCACAGCAAGCATGCAGATCGCCTGCTTGAGTCTGCAGAACTGGGCTCTTTCATCATGCACCTAGGACTGCTTCTATTTAGAAGGATTTGCGTCAAGACCCCCTCCAGTAGAGTGGATGAATCTAAGAGTAAATTCAATTTAAAAGACTTGGGGGAGGGGTGGCCATTACATTCCATTTAAAAGGCTTGGGGGGAGGGGTGGCCGGCCAAGGGTCAGAGCTGCTGAATTTCCTGACCTCACTGATGCAAGCAGGAGATCTCTGCATCTTTTGTTGACAGTCTGCTAGGAGGCACTGGGCAGCAGCTCTCAGAACCATATCCATCTCTGCAGCTGCTAGGCTGGGAACTGGTTAATAATAGATCCTAAGACACAAAAGGGGTTTTCATCCTTCATTATGAAATCATCCATTTTTCACTGGCTGTTGGGGTTTGTTTTTGCTGGCATACATAAGAGGGTATTAGCACCATTGATTGGAGCAGCCTGGTATCAAATTGTGTTCACAGATTATAATACCTACTGTGATGTAGGAAAATAAAATTCGAAGTCAGAGCCTTATGTGGAGTTAATGACGATTCTCACGTGTTGTCATGAGACCCAGAACAGTCTTTCTTCAATGGAACAAGGACGCACAAGGAGGACAGTATTATTTTTGTAATTGTACGTGAAGCTTTCCTAGTGTATGACCCACAGTGCGTGGATATAGCAAACTGCAGGACTGTGGTCCTGGAGGTACGGGCTGGGGAGTTTTCATACTGAAAAATAGGAGGGAACCTAGAACCAGAGACTTCGGCAGCTTTTCTGGGTAGAATGCCGTCTGGAACTTGCTCACTTTCCCACCCAAACCAGAGGGGTCCAGAAAAGACCTTGCCTTCAACCAAAGCTCCAAACCCTTAAGCCAGATTTGGATTGTAGGTGCCTGAAGCAGGTTGTTGAAGATCTGGGCAGTAGCTGGGCAGTGATTCCAAAGCCTATGAAACGCAGCTGATTGTTGAGCAGACTGGGTATTTTGGTGGGGAAGCAGTTGGCTTGATGGAGAGAAGTGCCAGAAGTGAGCTAGTCCAGAACACCAAAAGAAAGGGAAGGAAAACACAAGCCTTAACAACAGAAGAAGAGAAAGCCAAACAGGATTAAGATGGACATTTCCTTTACATTAGGCTGAAGATCAGCTCATTTCCTAATGAAGAATGGGAATGAATACAAACTAATAGTCTTCATATATAAAAAGTGCTTAGAAAACAATGGGCAGCCTTGGGGGAGGGGTGCAAGAACCTCACATAGGGTCTAGAGAAGACACGCAAATGGTAAATAAACACGGGGAAAAATCCGATTTTAATAAGTAAATCAATTTAGAATAAAAATAGTTGGCCATTTTGAAACTAACCAAAGTTTTGTTTTGTTTTGTTTTGTTTTTAATAAATGGTAATACACAGGGCAGGTGGACATGTTGAAGAGTGGGTTCTATTTTGTTCATGGAAATAGTATTTTCGCTGGATGATACCTCAGCTGCTTTGGAAAATGTACAGTGCTTCTCACCCAAGAATTCCCCTACATAAGATTTACCCTAAAGATGAATTACGGATATCCAGGAGGACCTAAGTACAGAGAGGCTCACTGCCATCCATAATGGTGAAAATTTAGAAGCAACCTCGGTGCCCAGTTAAAAGGGAAACTTGAAGTAAACTGAAAACTTGAAGCAAACTTTTGGCACAGTGGCACACTGAATTCAATAGTAGGGAACCATACTTGCTGAAAAAGAAACATTTTCACAATCAGTTGTCAAATGAAATTATGGGTGTGCTATAATCCATTTTAAAAGAGAGTTCGGAAGGATAAAAACTGAAGATGGGAACGGTGGTTGGTTCTAGGTTTTCTTTTTGCCTGTTTGTTTTTTCTTGATTTTTTCTGTAATGAACATAAGGAAAAACGTTTAACACTCATATATCATGTGAACTTCTGGTGAATTGCACAGCGATCTTAAGCCAGCTTGGCTGCCCAGAGGGGGCTGTGTACATATTGTTCCAGAAATGTCAGGGTTTATGTATTTGAGTTAGAAATGCCAGTTGGCTCTCATCGACTTAGGACCATGGAATCTGGTTTTAATTCTATCAGATGGCATCTTTCATAGGTAAGGAAAATAAATTCCAGCCATTCTGGGCCCAGGGGAGAGGAAGGAGCTGAGAAGGGGTTTGAGGACTCTTACATTTTCTTTTTACTAGTTTATATTTAAAGTAACCTTGAGATTTATTTGGACGGCTTGTTTTGTTTTCTAGGCCAAACACCAGAGTACCCTAGAAAGCTGAACTAAAAGAATGCTCATGTTTGACCCAGTCCCTGTCAAGCAAGAGGCCATGGACCCTGTGTCGGTGGTAAGTTTTCCAAAATTGAGCCACATCTTCTCTTTTATTCCTAGTGCCAATAGCATGACTGTGTGTTGTGTTACTCCTTCAAGTTACTCATCACTGGACAGGCATTTGGTGAACAGACTTTTCTCAAAGCCTTGGTCAGTGAGTGGGGTGAACACCTTTTTAGCAGTGTGTGTCCTTTAATCAGCGGGGTCCATTACCCCATGCCCCCAAGATTGGATCAGCACAGAACTTGGGTCATAGGTGAATCTGGCCATGACTGGAAGGAGGTTTACAAAAACTCCTGTTACTAGCTTTTTAGTTTGAGCTCTCAGGATTATTGGTTTGGGCCAAGAAAAAAAAAAGGTCTGGCCAGACTGATTTTTAAAAATTAATGTGCATCTGGGGACTTCCAACCCCCGCCCCGCCCCTGCCAACTGCCCCCAGGAACATTTAAAAAAAAAAAAAAAATCCCTGTATGCAGTGTTTATCATGGTTAGGAAGCAGTTTTCAGATGTACTTTTACAAGAAATCTGCACCAAGAGAGTAATCCTGTGAGGTGTTTTTTTACTCAGGATCACCACCCTGATCATAATAGAAGAGTTTCTTTTTTTCTTTTCTTTTTTAAGATTTTATTTATTTATTTGACACAGAGAGAGGGAGAGCTGGGGAGGGAGAAGCAGGCCATCTGCTGAGCAGGGAGCCCAGTGTGGGACTCGATCCCAGGACCCTTGGATCATGACCTGAGCCGAAGGCAGAGGCTTAACTGACTGAGCCACCCAGGGGCCCAGTAAAAGAGTTTCTTAAAAATGTTTGTAAATGTCTTTTTCTTTTTGATACCAGAAGAAAAAAGCATTCCATTTTGTCTTCTGTAGTGTTCAGCATCTCCTTCATGGAGCTGATGAAATAAAAAAGGAAACAGGGTGGGGGTGGGGAGAAGCCCTCAAGTCCTGCATCTAAAAACGTGTTCAGAATAAAACGATTCACTTAAAAAACCAATGACAGCAGCTATCCTGAGCTGTTCCCGGGGTGAGATGGTTGAGGAGAAGGTAGTGAAAGAGAACATGGCCTTGAGGAGAGGGATTCCTTTGCGCTTGGAGGAGTCTGGCTGGGAGGGAGTCTGCTTGTCTTTCTCAGCACCAGTGTGTGAAGCCAGCCCCCCAGGGATGCTTCTGGGCCACAGGCGGCTGGCTGTGAGACAGGGGCTTGTCGAGGTCCAGCACTGGTGCCGTGGAAGTGGGACGGGGTGGTAACGGGTGGTAACCGAAAGGGGGCGGGGGACTTACAGGCAGGGAGTGGTTTGGACTCCTGGCCATTGGTTGGGCCAATAGGAAATAACAAGGCAAGGCTCCCACTCCGTCTTGCTCTTTTCTTCCACGGGCTTGGAAAATAGTCACAAGGGGGAAAACGTGGCCCGAGTTGTGTATCCGAAGGTTGGTAATGACACGCTTGCAAAATTAGATCATCCTTATGCGTCGGCTGCCGAGGCTCCTGCCAAAAATGTTTATACAAGACGCAGGGGTCACTCGGAGGCCCTTGGAGCTGAGTTGCCATGGGTAGGACTGAGCCCGTGAAGTGTTTACTGCTGTGGACAGTGAAAAGTGAGGTCTGAGTGGCTGTAAGGAAATAACATTTACATTCTGATGTGATAACTGGATAAGCAAGTGTCTGAATACGCGGTCACCGAGCAATAAGAACTTCATTAATCAAAAAACTGAATTGACTTCTGATGTTACTAGGTCCTTTCACCGTATATTCATCAGCCCCTTACCCCAGACTATTGCATGATCACATTGGAGGAAAATTGAGGTATAAAATTTCCCTATTAATGATATCCTTGAAATATGAATAGGTTTTTAGTACTGGAGAATATGATTAATTTTATAAATGATGCAGAACCATCTTTGATGCATTTTAATATTCAGTATACTTCCAGTGCCTTTAATCAAGCATGAAAATACGGCTGAAGAGCCAATTTAAAGCTCAAACGAAGATCGGCATTGCCAAGTTGGTAAGATAGAATTTAAGGGCAAGCAAATGCACTTGACTGAAAAAAAAAATGGAAGTGAAATGAATTTGAAGTAACATTTATACTTATAATGCTGTAACTTAAATACGTGAAGTTAAAACATATAGAAGTATCTTTGCAATTAGTGGTCTTTTTCTCTTTCATACTCCAGTTCTCAATTTCAGCTTCCAGCTAACGCTTAGAAAATTTAATTAGATCATTTCACCAAAAGTTAGAATCAGTCCCCACAAGGAAATGTCTTTCTCTTAATTAAGCAAAACCTGCGTTAACTGAAACATTTGCGGGGGGGGGGGGGGGGTTGTGATTTATTCTACTTAACAAAACTAAATAAAAAGCCTTTGTTTCCACTCTTGAATATTCAGATTTTATCTTTCCTGCCTCCCTAGGTGGAGTGTGCTAAACCTAATTTATTATTGCTTTATTCCTTTTTTTTTTTTAATACCACCCTTGACCTAAAGGTTGGTTGGTTACTTGGTATTTTGCTGTAGTTTAGAGAAAATAAGGAAGTGTCCTTTCTCACTTAGGGAAATGCAAGCCTTCAGTACCCTCCCCTGCTTAACCCTTGAGCTCTGAGGCAAACAGGATGGCTTTGAACCGCCCTAGGAAAATGTGCAAGAATGTGGGGCAGAGTAGACCACGGCCCCCTCCCCTGGCTGTGGGTCTCTGCCATCTCCTATCAGTGTGATTGTTGGCACACCACCCATGGCTCCCTGAGTCTCTTTCCTTTCTGTTAAATTGGAGATGATCATATGTACGCGAAGAAACAGCCTGTGAATACAAAATGCACATGTGAAGAGTGACTTTCACCAGTATATCGTCAAAGAAAGCTGGAGATTAAGGAATTGAATTCAGGAAGTGAGAAAGAAACCAAAGTTTTTCAAAGTAGTCTTTCTTATTTTATTCCTAAGGAAAGAAAGATAACTTTTGGGGGGGGAAAAAAGTGTATTCTCCCCCCCCCACCCCTTTCTTGTAATGAAAATTACCCTCTAACAGACTCCTTACAGATTGAGAAGTACTTAAAATCAGTAGGACCTCTGTTCTGTTCTCACAGAAACTTTCATGACTCTTCTGAGCCTGGCAGAAAGAGCGCTTTCTACTTTTGTTTGCATAGAAGGGTATGACATCGGCTGTTTCCAGAGTGTGTGTTTATAAACGCACCACGCCTTCCTGCACTGGGAACCCCACCCTTGGTATGAAGATTCCTCTGACTTGCCTTGGCCCTGTCACGGATGCTCACTTTTTTTTTCATATTAAAGAGCAGTGAACTAGAGACCTTACTGCCCGTGTTTTGTGCAATCACTCCATCCGCTTCAGCTGTCTGGTGATGGAAAACTCACCAAAACTCTTCCCAATAAAACAAACGATTGAAATGCTCACTTAAGGGATGCATGGGTGGCTCAGTCGGTTGGGCCCCTGCCTGCAGCTCAGGTCAAGATCTCAGGGTCCTGGGATCGAGTTCCGCATGGGGCGCCAGCTTCTTGCTCTGCCTACCACTCCCCCTGCTTGTGCTCACACTCTCTCTCTCTCTCTCTCACAAATAAATAAAATCTTAAAAAAAGAAATGTTCACTTAAGTACAAAGTGGTAGCTTTGGAAAATCATCCAAACACGGTGCCTTCTTCCCTGTCACAATTAAAATCCTCCTGGTTTTCAAGAATCCAAAGAATGGGTGCTATCTTTAGTCTGGACAGTGGTAAAAACCCGCTCAGTGTGCACGGATTCACTTCACTCGTTCATCCCGTGTTTATCGATGAAAGCCAGACCCTCATCTCCCGTTCTGGTAAGAGGAGGCAGTCTGCAAATAAATGTGACATAGATGTCACAACGGGAGAGAACTTTCTGGAAAGTTAACAGCCCATTCCCACCCCCAGTGAGGGCTGAAAGATTAGAGAGACCCTTGCTGGAGTCTGTCTTCAGGCTGCTCTGTTCCAGGATAGAAGGCCTCCCCGAGTGAGCGCTGTGCACAGTGGGGCTGGGTGGCCATCGGGGGCCGGAGGAGTGCTGGCTGCGTCATCAACACTTGAGTCTGCTTTGGATTTGGGGCTCCTCCAGCGCCTGTTCGCACTGCTTTGCTAGGAGATAGGAAAGGTCTGGAACAGAGACGAGGCTCCTATTACCGTGGTGTCCATAGAAGGCACACACCCGGAGCGAACCCTGTCATGTGGATTTCTGCACGGTTGCTGGCTGATGTAGTAGCTCGTGTGCTCCACCCAGACAATGGAAGCAGATGCGTCTCACAGAAGGCTCTGGTAACCACTGCTGTGGGGTTTTCTGGTGAGATGGTGTGAGGAGCCACGTTTCTTCACCCTTTTACAAGGCGGTCAGACTGGAAAGAGTTAATTGTGTACTCTGTTGTGTATCCAAACGTGTCTCCCTACTTTTAGCCCTGTAGCCTTGCATATACTGCAGGTCAGGCCAGGGGATGGGGGACAGGGGGGCGTGGGGCAGCCACTGGGGAGCAGAGTCAGCAGGAATGTGCATGTTTATAAAACTTGGCTTGATGTGTGGCTTTTTCTTTATGGCTCGAGAAACCCGAGATGATTATTAAATTTGCAAATCTCCCAGGTTCTAAATTCCTACTTTTCCTTAAATTCACCCCACAGTTAGAAAAATCCAGCAGTGACAGCAGTAAAAGTGTGTCCTCATTCTGCTTTCTATTTAGCTGCCAATAACTTGGCATTAAAATCTAGGTCATAGGGAGGTCTTTGAAGAATAGGGCTGAAAATAAGGGAGAAGTACATTTTGGTGAGTAGAAAAAAATGCTACCTCCCATTTCCTAACTTTTTGTTTCTAGTACCATGACTTTTGCCCTTTTGAGAATCCTATGAAGTGAGTTAACCTTTAGAACTAGGAGAAATCTTTCTACCCCTGTATTTAATGACTTCTTCAAACCTTTGTTGTACATACTAGGAATTTTATTTATTTATTTATTTATTTTTAGCAAATCACTGCCTCATAACTTTACGTATTTTAATATTTAGATGTAAATGTATTTATAGGAATTTTATTTATTTATTTATTTATTTTTAGCAAATCACTGCCTCATAACTTTACGTATTTTAATATTTAGATGTAAATGTATTTAGTATTAATATAGCTGTATGTTTTGGGCCTCTCACCCTGTGGTCTACTTACATGTACCTGGTTCTAAAGAAAGGTAGAAATAGTCTTTTCCTCTGATTCTTGATATATAACTCAAAGCTGTTTTCCAAAAGAACAGTTTATAGGGGGCGCTTGAGTGGCTCAGTCAGTTAAGCATCCGTCCTCTTACTCATCAGGTTCCCTGCTCAGCATGGAGTATCTTAGAGATTGTCTCCCTCTCCCTCCCCTTCTGCCCACACTCCTGCCCCGCACTGCACCCCCTCCCCTGTGCACACGGGCTCTGTCTCTCTTAAATAAATTAAATCTTTTATAAATCACCATTTATATATTTTGTATTTCCTTATTTATATCCTTCACGTCCTTGTTTTTTAAATAGTATTATTAGTGAAAAATTCTTCCCCCACCTTTAAATTGTTTCTGAATGGCTTACCAAATTTTAATACTAAAAATTGGTATTTTTATTCTACTCTGTATCTCTTTGTCATTTAGAGCCATGCTGTTTAAAAAGGGTCTGTGCCCATAGGGCTGCTCCCCAGAAACTCAGAATCTGTATTTTGACAAGATGGGTCAGGTGCATTCATGCAGAGCGAGGTTCGAGAAGCCCTGATTGGGGGGATCAGACCCATTACAGTGCTCCTACTGGTCTAGAAAGAGAAGGGACTTCTGGCACCACAGTGTGGGTAAAGCTCCCAACATAGCTTATTGAATCCAGTTACAATTTTAAATTATTTAAAATTTAGAATTTGGGTTTTCAGTCATCTTGACAAATTTTGCCTTATCCCCATGGCACCTTCGATTCTAATATTTAGTAATTTTTCCTGCCCTCTTTTGTCGACATGCTTTTATTAACATAATAAATTTATTTTGAAGAGGATGTATCACTACTGTACAAAAAAGTTTTTTCTTATGCAATTTAAATAAACACGTAACTATTTTAAAGCACTGTGTATTTTTTGTGTACTATCTGGAAGTATCTTTGGTGCCCCCAGAGAGGTGTGTACCTCCTACAGAAATCACAGTTCTAGGAGATGATGGGCGTTGACAGGGATAAAGAAAGAACAAAAGAACAAAACAGGGGCGCCTGGGTGGCTCAGTGGGTTAAGTCTCTGCCTTTAGCTCAGGTCATGATCCCAAGGTCCTGGGATTGAGCCCTTCATCGGGCTCTCTGCTCAGCGGGGAGCCTGCTTCCCCATCTCTCTCTGCCTGCCTCTCTGCCTACTTGTGATCTGTCAAATAAATAAATAAAATCTTAAAAAAAAAAAAAAAACACAATCTTAACAATGAGAAAGTGACTTCAAAAGCAGATGAAGATAAATACTGCCTGGTCCCACACCGCCCAGATACTCCCTGATCTTAGGCCTGCTATGCCCAGAGAAGGGAGTTTTCGCAACAACACCAGGGTGCTTATTAGCCCTGTGGAGGTTTTACCTCGTGGAGGCCCAGAGAAGAAAGGGTGTGATATCCGTGGTAATCCCAGTAAAAACCACCGCTGTCCCACAATCGTTTATAATTCACAGTAGTGGCCACTGGGGGACTGGGGCAACCCAGAAGTTTATCATGCCTTTAAGCTCTTTAATGATAAGGCCCCATTGGTGGGTTTTCTTGGCTGTCTTATGAGCTAGTATTGTCTCAGGATGAGCACTGCATTGGATTTGAGAGCTGGAAGGGAGGAATAGTATGTTACCACTTTCAGTATATTCAGATACACATCGCTTCTTGGCCTTCTGGCTAAGATCAAGTGTAAAGAATTCAAATACGAGTAGTTTCCTGCACAGGGACTTGAAATGGTCATCACTGAACGTTTCAGTTTCCCTGAAATACTTAAGAGTAAAGAAAATAACTTCTGTTGAGTGTAATTTTTTAAAAAGCATCCTACAGCAAAGATTTTTTTTTTCCCCCAATGATGACTAAGGAATAGAAGTCATTCTAGTGAATTCCAGGGCCAAGGACCATACCCATAGTGTGTAGCGATTATGATTGGTTTGTATTTAAAACTGGTAGTAGTCCATTATTCTGATAGTACAAGAGAGGAAGGTATTTTAAAGGGTGGCTCAGCTGTTTAGGTGTCTGCCTTCGGCTCAGGTCATGATCGCAGGATTCTGGGATCGAGCCCCAAGTCGGGCTCCCTGCTCCATAGGAGCCTGCTTCTCCCTCTCCCCTGCTTGTCCGGCTCACTCTGTCAAATAAAATCTTTAAAATAAATAAATAGAATAGAATAGAGATAAAGTAGGTCAGTTGTCACCTCTTAGCTTTGGAGGAAGCACCAGGCCTGGGTCAGTGTGCAAGTTGCTTCAAGCACCTTGTGTCCTTACCTTAACTGGAGTCCCATTAGCTGTCTCACAGTTCTGTGTCATGCGCAAACTTGGACATCAAGTCACCTTCTACGGTTTCATTCAAACTGACTAAGACCATCGAACAAGCAGGGGTCAAGGACATAATTGCGCGCGGGTGGGCTTCGGGGTGTGGAGGCGGGAGGGATACTGACCTGGTTGCAGGAGACTGAGGAGTCTCCTGGGACGTAGGGCTTTTAGTGCTAAAACCAGACCGTCAGGGGCAAACCAGGACTGTTGGTCGCGTGACCCTCGGCATGGGTTGGTCAGCAGCTGAAGCCACCCCCCAAACCTACTGCCCTGCAGCCCTGGTTCTCCGTATTATACACCAGCGTATGGTGAGAAGGACAGACGTCCTCCTCTGGTGGGGAGTGACAGCATTTCCTGCCGACTGAGGAGCCATGTCAGCAAAGCTGTGGGGGGGGGGGTTCGTTGGCTTGGCTGGCTGTTGGTGAACCCCAACACCGACTCCCACCAACCAAGGCCCATAATAAGTCTTCTGTTTATGACCTGTTCTTGAATTTTTGCCTGGTATCAACCTGAACCTCAACCTTAACGTCTGACGGGGAATTCAGTTAGAATGTTTCATGAGACACAGTTATCCCATTAACCCTAACCTTTAGTACACCAGCCCCCTCATGGCATTGTTTAGGGTCAGGAGCCGTCTGACCGTACCCTGCTTATTGAGCCCACCTAATTGAGCGTGCCTTGGAGGACCTCTCCAGTTTCATTGCCATTTCCAAAGCGAATGCACCTGGGTCGCGGCTTAGACGCTTCTGTGTTTCCTTCCCGACAGTCCTACCCATCCAGTTACATGGAGTCAATGAAGCCCAACAAGTACGGCGTCATCTACTCCACCCCGTTGCCGGATAAGTTCTTCCAGACCCCGGAGGGCCTGTCGCACGGGATGCAGATGGAGCCGGTGGACCTGACCGTGAACAAGCGCAGCTCGCCGCCCTCCGCGGGCAGTTCTCCTTCGTCGCTGAAGTTCCAGCCCTCGCACCGGAGAGCCTCGCCCGGCCTGAGCATGCCTTCCTCCAGCCCGCCCATGAAGAAGTACTCGCCGCCTCCCCCGGGCGTGCAGCCCTTTGGCGTGCCGCTGTCCATGCCCCCGGTCATGGCCGCCGCCCTGTCCCGCCACGGCATCCGCAGCCCCGGGATACTGCCCGTCATCCAGCCCGTCGTGGTGCAGCCGGTCCCCTTCATGTACACCAGCCACCTCCAGCAGCCGCTCATGGTCTCCTTGTCGGAGGACATGGAGAACTCAAACAGCAGCATGCAAGGTAAAGGCCACCGCCGACTGCGCGGCCGCTCCGGCTCAGCACCCGGGGCAGGGCCAAGAGCTCTTGTGCTCTTGGAGGAGCTAGTCCCCTTAGGGTCAGCCTGCCTGAGGCATTTCCTTTCTGATGTCTTTGGGGGTGGGGGGGTTCTTTCTCTTTTTTTTTTTTTAAGTGTTGCTACTGGAAGAGCTCCCAGGAACCAGGCTGTTTAATGCCACGAAATGGTTACGTCACTGCGTAATTGTCAACTTAGGATACTGAACATCCTGACTTTGTATTCTGCTTTATTGAATGCTGACCTGGTTCCGTTAAAACGGCATTTAATAAATGCCTTTGATCGCAGTGATAAGTAATGGTTACTGAAAGCCAGCTCATTTACTGGCTGGTCACAGGCAGAAGACTGTGGGGTTAAAAGGAGATTTCCTAGAATCCTAAGGGAGACCCATTTGGGGCCTATGTGCTCAAAGGCCAGCTTCTGACACTTGCTGCTTGTTGATGGAATAGTGGTTGGGGGAAAACGTGATCTCCCCCACCCCCCAGATTTGCTTTCTGCTGTAATTTTGCCAGCCAATAGATACTCCACACATCCTTGTCGTAGATAGAAGCTGTGCAGTAAACTTCTAAAAAAAAAAACTGAAATTGGTCGATTGTACATGAGTGACTTTTCTATTTTTATTTTTTAGTACCTGTAATTGAATCATATGAGAAGCCTATATTACAGAAAAAAATTAAAATAGAACCTGGGATTGAACCACAGAGGACAGATTATTATCCTGAAGAAATGTCACCCCCTTTAATGAACTCAGTGTCCCCCCCACAAGCACTGTTGCAAGAGTAAGTATGTTCAGGTCTGCCAGACATTCGCGTGGTGGCGCGATTCTTGGGACCTGGGTTGGAAGCACGCGCTTCCAGCTCGTGCTGTGTGGATTGCCAGGAACACCTTGCAGCCGCTGGGAAGGATGGGAAATCTCTCCAAAGGCAGTGTGTTCTGCTCTATGGACTGCATCCTGACATTCTTGTCAAGTCAGCAACAGATTGAGCACTTGTGATTGCCACTTGTCACAACAGTTGTGGGGGTTTGGGGGATTTTTTGTTTTTGTTTTTTTTAACCCTCCTAGACTATACATAGTTTTCCCATAATCTTTATCCTGATATGGATTGAATTTGATATTCTGGATATTCTACATGAGGTTGGATCGTGAAAACTTGAAAAGACACACCTCGTCCTTCCAGTTGTCACCTCTAATACTGTTTCTGTGGTGGGGAATGTCTTCAGTCAGAATTTTCAGGCCACCTGTGAGCCCGAGGAAGTCATTCCAAGAAAGACCTGTAGACCGTGGTGGCAACCGAAAGTTTTTGTGTAGCTCGGAGAAGTTCAGTGTTGGAATAACCCATTATTCTCTCATCTCTGGTCTTCATCACATCTGCCCTTAGAATGTTCAGCGTGGTTTAGAACTGCCATCCAGGAGGAAGGTTTCTGTATCAACTACATCCAAGCCCTGAACAGTGGTTTGTTTTAGGTCTAACTTGTGATGGGTATCAAACACAAGTTAAATAGCATTATTAATGGGATTTGCTACAGTAGATAGCCTTGTCTTGCCTTCTACTGGAGGCTGTGTTTGTAGGAGCTCGGAAGGTGACCTTTGGGTCAGGCATCTTGGATCCCAGCTCTGCTCTCCACCATATGTATAACCTTGGCTTAGTCAATCTTGCTGCCTCCGTTTCCTCTCTGTTTTCATTACTGGTTGTGATTATTTTCCTTGTAATTGTCTTGTGGTGTGGCACTTTCAAGGTTGACTTCAGTGGCCGGCTTCCTGGTACAAGGCAGTAGTCTTCTTCCCCCTAGGCCCCTTCCGTCCTCTTTCTCCCATAGTACTTTTTTCCAACTTAAAACAGTGTTCTACACTCCTTTCTACGTCGTCTTTTCCCATCTCTCTTACCCAAGGCGTTCTGCAACAGAGTGTGAATTCTCCGGCTTTTCAACAGCTATTTTCTTGAACTTAAGATCTACATTCTAGTTCTGTCCACATCTAACCGAGGCAGGCACCCCTTCATAGTAGGTCATGTTCAGGGTCATGTTCAGTGCCCATTGCAACAAGTCCTAGTTGGTTATTTTGGGGGGGGCAGGGGTTGTCCTTAGCTCCCTGAGAAATGGAGAAGAGAATGAACCCTACAAGGAGCCACACCAGCAGGGAGAGAGTGTCCGGTGAACTTGGACTGATACTACCTTTCCCAGTTCACAGTTGCATCATGCTTCCCCCACCCCCGGTGAGACTTTCCCACGTGTTTCCAAAGGAATTATTTCATTGCAGCACAACAAGCATGTGGGAGTCAGAGCAAATGGAGACGGCTGAGCCAAGACATTAGATAATTTTCCTAGAATCACACTGAACAGCAGCAGGGTCCGGCCTCCATCCTCCTGCCACCTGATGAGGGCTCTTCCTATCTAACCATTGCCCCCCCACTCCTGCTCTCGGGTGGAAGGAAACACAGAAAGACCAGCCAAAATAGACATACCTTGCAGGCCGAGTTCCCTCCTCTTTTATGGTGCCAGGTGTCTCTGGCAAGGTGACTGGCTACATGACTTGCACTTGTCATTGTTCTTGCCCACGTGGTGAGTAAGATGGTATATAGCCAAGTGCCCGCAGAGAGAGGGAGGGATGACCCCCGGACTGAAAAGGGGTGATTCCAAAGTCAAGGTTACTGTGAATTGCAATGCAAACCGTAACAGAAGAAGAAGATTTGAAAGCAGTATTTTGCGCTCTAAATGCTGCTGAAAAGAACATACTTTCTGCTTACTTTGAGTGATGTCCTTTTGATGATCTCAAGCTCGGTGGCTTTTAATGATTAATGAGTAATATGCTTATTTTAATGCTGACCTAAGAATGCATTTTGCTCCTCAAAAAATTCAACAGATTAGCCACAACTGGGACATGTAGTCTTTAAGTAATTCTCTCACAGATGTGATTAAGTAATGTCTTGGAATGTGCCCAGTAGCAGCCCACAGAGGAAGCCAGCTAGCCAGGAAAGAATCGATTGAAACCAAGCGCCTAGTGCCATTGCAGTGAGGCGGTCCCGATAATTCTCTTTCCGGAAACTCTTCCTGTCCAAAGGTGGACTTTAAGATACAGCTTTGAAATCCATTTGCTTGCACAAAAGAGTTAACAGCTTTAGGATGATTTTTAAAGGCACTTGAATGTCTATCAGATTCCTTCTCTCTTCTCTTTTTTTTATATTTACATATATGAAGTGTATTTAGAACAAAGAACTTGAGGATCAGATCTCACCATTTAATTGTGTCTATGAATTACAGCAACCCTTGGTTGTAATGATCCCAAACAGCCTCTCTGAAAATGAGCAGCGGAGAGTCCAAAAAGGGGGCAGTCTTGAGACCCCGGCCTCCAGCTGCCACCTGTGCCAGCATCCGGCCCTCTAGAGATGGGGCCGCCACCCGCTCTCAGAATGATGCTACCTTTCAAGGTAGACATTGGCTGGAGCAGGGATTTCCTTTCCTGGTGTTGGGAGATCCCCCAAAAAACTCCTCATGAAATTAAACCACTGTAGAGGCCAAGTTTGCAAATGGGTTTCTTCTGAACTTCAAAACATTAACCGCAACCATTTGGTAGATTCACATCTGGAACTGATGTTACCCTTCAGTCCTCTGTGTATGTTACTCACAACTTTCTGACATCATATTATTACCAGCATCCCCACTGTATAGAGGACATGGAGGCACAGAGAGGATCGGTCCCGTGCGCAGGGTCCCAGGGACTATGAGTGACAGAGCTGGGATTTGACGTTGGAGCACACACAGCCTTTTAACGTACCTTTATATGCAAAATGAGCTGGGGAAAGCAGTCAGAACTACCGCACGGATACTATGAGACAGATTTCCAACCCATAAAATCTAATAATTGGGAGAGATGTCTAAAATCACCTGGGATACTCCCCCCAGTATCCCAGCGGCAGAGGAGATCTATTTTAACCATTCAGTTTTTCCCCCAGCATTTTATTTCCTGAAGTTCTCTTAATGAAGATGAAACATTATAGTTGATGGCATTAAAGTTGAAAGTTAAAAATAAACCGACAACTCTTTTCTTTCTCTAGGAAAGTAATTAAAATTACTAATTCCACTTCCTAAAAACCTGTATGTGTCCCCAGATCTGTCACTCTTCCATTTTCTCTCTGTTTGTACATACATATAACTGAAGTCCTTGCACCCCTCCCCCCAGTGTTGACTTTTCCACCTAAACCTGGCTCTTCATTCTTCTGTATTGACCCCACTAAACATTAAGGTAGGGGTAAAGTGAGACTCAAAACTGCCAGTTTTCTTTGCTAATAATAGAAGTGAAAAATAAATAGTCACTTAAGATCAATGCACCTTTTATTCTTTTCCTAGTTACTTAGTGGGCCTGGAAGAGGTCCTGATAGGGCACATGTATTGAGATTTTTACCAAGATCAAAACAAGTTTCATTTCAGGGGCTCCCTTTTGATTTTGATGGTGAAATTTTATTACCCTTTTTTCTCTCCCAAGCATGTGTGTTTGCCTTCATCAGATTCCTTTTCTTTTCCTCATCCACACTTCTACAGAAAAATTCGGATATTATTTGGACCATTTAAAGAACTTTAGATCCCAGTTTAAGAGACGAGTCTTTATTACCTGTTACCATTGGAGGCCAGTTCCATAAGCTTGCGATGATGTATCAAGTAATCAGTCGTTAGGAAAGCTAATGAACCGATTAGAATTTTTTAATTACTGACATTAATCAGCGGAGGAAGCCCCAGAAAGCTTTATAGACGTTTCCCCAGATCTTTCCCCATCTGCCTCTTCTCTCCTTCTGAAAAAGAGAAAGTTTAGAGCAGTGGTGGTTGACCTGATTGGTTTTCAGAGCCCCCCAGGAAAGGTGTGCGGATGCAGGAAGGGGTGTGGGCAAGCAGGCAGAAGGCAGGAAGACGTCAGGTGCCCCTGAGAACTGGCACTGCACCAGAATCCTCCCTCACGCAGGAATGACAGCAACAGGAAAGGTCTGAGGTTTTGAAAACAGCAGTGCCTTTCTTTATTCATTTTGGAAGAGCCAGAATTTGAAACTCAGACGTGGATTGGTGATCTTTAAGAGAAAATCATTGCCAGTTTCGGAAAGGATAAAATGTAGATAACGAGCAAGATTGCCCGAGCTTTAGGAATTTGACCTGTATTCTTCCCTACACTAAATAACCATTAGGGCAAGCCATGGAAGGACGCTGGAACCCTACTCAGCTTCGCTCTCGTACCACGAGATTGTGTAAATAGGCGAATCTGTACTGAGGGAAAGCCTCTCCTAGCGCCTGCGTCTCCCTCTAGCGTAGCACCTAACCCTTCTTACTGTCATTACTTATCTACATGTCTGTCTCCCCCTAGAGTGTGAGCTCCTCGAGGGCAGGAACCCTGTTTTTATTCATCTTTGTGTCCCGGTGCCAAGCACAGTGCCTGGCTCATGGTAGGTGCTCACTCCATGTTTGTTGAATGACTATAGAAGTGCTTCTTGGGTTGATCAGCTAATTTCTTTTTGTTGTTGTTGTCGTTGGGTTTTTTTTTCGTTTTGTTTGTTTGGTTGGTTTTGCCTAGTGGTGTTAATGCCTTTGGTAGTAGACTGAAGGAAAGGAGAGAGGCTTTCCCCCGGATATTTCACACTGCACGTTGGCTTTCCTAGGAATCACCCGTCGGTCATAGTGCAACCGGGAAAGAGACCGTTACCTGTGGAATCTCCGGACACCCAGAGGAAGCGGAGGATACACAGATGTGACTACGACGGGTGCAACAAGGTGTACACTAAAAGCTCTCACTTGAAAGCGCACAGAAGAACACACACAGGTATCAGAAACGCTACGCGCCCTCCATCTTTTCCTCATGAGAGAGAGTGAAATGGAATGTTAGGAATGTTCTAGCTTTCAGAGGTGATGATAATTGTGAAAAATGCACTTTTTCGGTCAAGATGTATTTTCGTAATGAGTTAGAATGGATGCAAGGTTATCACCATGACAGGGTTGCTCCCAGTCCCGTGGAGTTGTGTGCTCTGTGTTCCAGGGAGCTGGGGGGTGGGAAGGGGGGTGGGACTGTTCTTAGCCCTGGGCCTATTTCATCAAGGATGTGGCCTTTGTAGGCACCATCCTTTAATAAATGTGGTACATCACCAGATTCACAACGGCAGCAAACAAGCAAACCAAAACCACCACAGTTCTTTATGCAGAACAAATACAGAAAAGGAAAGATATTTGGGTGACCTTTGTCTTCTAAAACTGAGGGAACTTCTGTGCTCTCGCCTGCCCTGTTTGTTCTGGGGTATTACTACTTCTGCCCAGGATCGAACACAGAGCATGCCACCAGATCTTCCAGAAGTGATTACACGGGTGAAGAAACACACAGCTGTTCTATTCCCTCTTGAACGTTTCATGAGCAGAGCCGCTTGAGGAACCCCTACAGGAATGGTGTCCACAGCCCACTTGGCAGTCAGTGTGAGAGAGCCATGCTGACAGCAGGCCTCGTCTGCTCTAACCTCAGGACCCTGGATGTGAAATTCTAGTATAACAGCCATTGTCCCCTGGGCACATTTTCCTTCACTCAGGATGTCCGTTGTTTGTTTGCTGTTTGTTTGTTGTTGAGCCTTGGGAGTCACTCCTATTAGGTATGTTCACAACAAGGAAAATCTGGGATTTGAAAGAGAAAGGGGAAGGAGAGTGGCAGTATGGAGTGAAGTTACTCAGTGATTCCCAGGGAGAGGGAAAGGCAGCTTGCAGACAGCTGAGTTCTTGGGTTTGGTCACAAGGTTCTTAAAGGGAACTTGGGGTGGGGGGTGCACCTTGCGTTTAGAGAAGCATCAGGTCTCAGATGCCAGGGAAACCAGTAAAAAAGCATTCCCAGGGCATTAATGGGACCTGAGAGGTGGATGTTAACCAACTTCAGCTTAAGATGAAAAAAGACATTGGTTATTTGAATAACAATTTAGATGTAGGAAAAACACCTCAGCGTTTACATTCTCTGAAGCAAAGCAGGTAAGACAATTCTGAAGGGCTCCTCGAAATACCAAGGCATGTCAATCCTTAAAATTTTTAGACAACAAGGGGGATAGTAAGTGGGAATTGATTTGTGAGGCCCATTTGCCCTTAGTGACTCATATTAAACATGTACGATGGCCACTAACAGCCTTTTTATTTGTAAGGGCCTTCATGCTGGCTCTCCCTGTGATTTCCCGCCAAGGGTCTTCTGTTCCTCACCTGTCCACTACCGTTATCCCGAGGGAGGGGGTCGGAGAGACCTCGCTGTTGACAGGCCGAGGAGGAACTACCGTATTTTTAGGATGTCTCAGAGCATTATACCTCAGCATAATTGCAGTTGACTCAAACAAAAGATGCTGAAATTCCTGTCGGTGTCTATCACGCTTCTTATTTTTAGGAAACTGTTAAAATAAGAAGGAAATCCCATAAACTTTGTTTGGACTTCTCATTAAGTGGAAAGCACTGTGTGTAACTAAGCATCACGGTAGCTTAAGACTTGAAGATAAATACAGATCACAAGTTGTTTCTTAAGTGACTCCTCCCTGCTATTTAGGGCAAAACCAAAATTACTTGCAAGCTCCTCCGAATGGATTTCAGTGGCTTTATGCTGTGAAAACTTTTAAAATCTTTTCTTTGTGGCGGGGAGGGGTGCAGAGTGCTAGTTAAATAGTAAGAGAATTAAGCCACTTGTTTTCTTGTTCGGTGAGGGGATGGAGGGACATACCTTGGAAATAATATTTGCCCAGAGTTGTAGCTCAAAAGATCTTTACTGTTTTTACTAATGAATAGCCTTTCACCCTCAAAAAAAAAAAAAAATAAGCTTTTCCGTTTTTCCTTTTTGCAGGAGAAAAACCCTACAAATGTACATGGGAAGGATGCACATGGAAGTTTGCTCGGTCTGATGAACTAACAAGACATTTCCGAAAACATACTGGAATCAAACCTTTCCAGTGTCCAGACTGTGACCGCAGCTTCTCCCGCTCTGACCACCTTGCCCTCCATAGGAAACGCCACATGCTAGTTTGAATGGCTCCGTCCCCTGCCTCAGCGTGGCTCCCCACTCTCCTGGCTCTCTCTCTGTCCTCCTTCCCATGATCTAACTCATTTTTTACATGTACATTTTAATTTGGATTCAGCTGGCCTGAATCTCAGAATTTATATCATTCAAACTTCCATATGGTCAGTAGTAGATGTTCTCTAATCCTCTTCCTTACCACGGGTCAGACCTAAAGAATGTGAACTCTTTTTTTCTTTTTTTTTTTTTTTTTTTTTTCCGGGGATGCTAAGCAAACCCTTCTTACAGATACGTTTAATGTAATGAGAACAAGGGAACATGTAAACTTAAAATAGCCAATTGTCGATTTCTCCATGTATTTCTCAAAAGAATGTCAAAGTAAATGTATTAGAAATACAGTATCCAGCCTTCAAGTCCTTGCCAGGGGACCTTGATACCTCTGTGCCCTGTGATCGTATTTTGTGCTTGCCAGCAAGAAGGAGGGCGGCCCCTCTCCCAGGTTAGGCAAACGTGCAGCCAAATTTCAGATAGGACTGTCCGTCCACCCTTCTTCCCTTCCGTTGCCCTTCACAAACCCTGATTGTCAACTCGGATTTACCACGTCCTCTAAATTAAGTCCTTGACTCACTTCTATGCCTGCAGCTAACAAAGTCTTTGCCACCCCCGGGGTTGAGCTGCAGTGCTGAGTAAGGCAGGTGATCTCTGTCAGTGAGCGGCCCAGCCTCGCAGGGAGTCAGAACGAAGAAGGGGCGTGGTGCAGGGAGAGGCAGCAGCATGGTCGAGGGAGGCCCCTTCCTCCTGGGCTCGGGCTCTCCCGATGAGCTTTCATCACTGGGTTAGCTGCACAGGGCATCCCCAGAGCCTCAGTCTCTCTGCTCGACTGTGCAGAAGCATCCAGCAGAGCCGAAAAACTGATGGAGTGAGTCCTACTTATCCCTGTCACCATTCCTCCGATGTCCTTAATGTGGGTCATCGAGCCTTGATTGTTGGGACACCATGAAAATATTTTGCCCAGTAATGGTAGGGAGGGAAAAAAGTCTTTTGAGGAAGAATATGGATGGCCTTTCTTTCACTCAACCTACTTGCAGCTTTTTTTTTTCTTTGCAAACAGGGAAACGTTGAGTGTATTTGTATTCCCATATCAAATTAATCATATAGCTTTTATACGGAAAGTCTGCTGTGTGGACCATAGGGTGCCAAGTGGGCTGTCACTTGTGTTTGTGACGCATACCGTAAGTCAGCGTCAGCTGATCCTCTAGTGGACGCGTTCATTTTAAGACCCGAGTGACCCGATTTGTAAATACAGCTGGTTGGGAAGCGCACATACCTTCAGTCGGGGGACAGATTTCTGAAAAATACAGAAAATCCCAGTTCAGGAATTCATATCTTGAGAGCTCCAAAATTCCCCAACATTTACTATTAAAGAGCTGGAAATCGATCACTCAAGTATCCCCTTAGAAGAAGCTGAAAATGACTCGTGTTTATGTCAAAGAGAAGTAGCACGCCATTCTTTGGGGGGAAGTTTTATGTTTTGTGGGGTGGGGGGGTTTCCTTTTTTTTTTTTTTTTTTTTTTTTTTAATTTTTTCAAAAGCTGGCTTTTGAGCACCATAGTCTGAATGCCAATAAAAATAATTCATGCATAGAAAAGTCATTGGTCCTAAATTTGAAGAAAGTGGGCAACAGTGGGTGTGTGTCACCAAACCGCCTTCATCCCTCCGATAAAGGACGGAAGAAAAGGGAGAAGAATCCTGAAGAGCCATCCCGGCCACAACTCAGGATCCAACACAACCTTAACTGGGAGGAATCCATTGTTCATCTGTTTCTAAGACATCAGTGAATGAGTGATTCTGGAGGCCCGCAAATCATGTGGGGAGCTTACTCTGATGGCTTTGTGTTAATAAAAAGTTAGTTGTAGGGACTGTGCACCTAAGAGATCCCACTTACCAGCCCTCTGAACCAGCTGAAAGGAAATACAGTTGAGAAATGCAGAGTTACTTGTTACCTTCTTGGCACTTGGTTCTGATTTTTTTTTTCTTTTTCTTTTTTTTTTTTTTGTAAGCACTGCGAAATTTGTTTAGAATATTAAAACCTCCTAATTGGGCTTTCTTTGTGTTTTTGCAACTATGGCATGAATTGAGGGATAAAAACGGCTCTTGGGAAAGTAGGCATTGTCTGTACTGTAAATGCTGTCACTTTCATACCAAAGTTTGTATTTCTAGGAGGGGTTCTTCTGCAACACACTGAAGATCAAGTTGGAATGTGAGGAACTTTTTTGTTTTCATGGAGATGACCCGCGCGCGCGCGTGTGTGTGTGTGTGTGTGTGTGCGCGCGCGTTCTAACTTAGAGAGAAGGTAGGGGGAAAAGCAAGAAAGGGTAGAATTGATCATCTTGGAATAATTAGCTTTTGAGTGTGGGTCTGGTTGATAGCTTCGTAGGTTCTCATGAAATTTGGTGTGTTTGTTACGGCATATTTAAATTTTGTCAAAAGAGCAAGCAAGACCCTGCAAAGACTTTCCATTACTGTTCAGCTTACTTAGATTATGTTAACAAGTTCATTAACAAAGATCCATTTGAAGTCTGAAAGAAAGACAAGCCCCACTGTTCCCGTTGCTGGTCTATATACTTCAGTTAACAATTGGCTCTTGACCAAATTTTCTTTTATATATATTTGTATTTTACTATGATAGTTGAGAAATTTAGTCTCTTAGACGTTTTTAGCTGTTATGGTGGAAGACCTCAAATACAAGATAGGATGCCCTTGAATGTGTGGATTTAATGATGTTCCAGGTCACCATCAATGGTTTTAATTGCAATATTTTACATTGATGAGAATGAATTGTATACATGAAGTTAGCGTGGTACAAATCTTATTAGGGAGTTTCTTTTGATTATTGTCCAAGGGTCATCTTGGGGAAATCAGAACAATTAAGGCTGAATGCATCATATTGTAGAGTTCCAAAATGGGAATCTACATCATAAATGGGCATTAACATTCTAAATCGTCCGGTAGGGAAAATGTGTTAGCAGCGTAACTAGGTCCAACCAAGGAAATGCTACATACACGGGAGTTTCAGGAGCCTTGGAACAGATTTCTAGGGGAACCATAGATGTAAATGTATATTTTATTAAAACACCCATCTGCACTATCAGTGTTGCACTAATGTGGGATTTGAAAGACTTTATTGCTGATACTGTATATCTGCACGTCATTCCTCATTAGATTGTTTTAAAGACAATCTCAAAGATCTAAGGTTTTAAAATAATTTGGTTTGCAAATACACCATCATCTTGAAGGACTCACTGTTTTACATGAAGTTGCTCAGAGTTGTCTTTATTCTCTTCTGGGTCGAGGTTAACAATTTCTAAATGATCGCAAATTCACTTAATACATTTACAAAGCCATTTTACATGCATTAAACGAGGGCTACAACAATATTACGTTTTACAGATACTAGCACTTTTTTTTTTTTGCTGTTATGTACTTAGTGTTAGAGGGTCAAAATAATCTTTCTGCTTAGCATCTCTTAAACCATACCTGCAAGTGTAGCAGGATTAGTACATTTACAGTACTTTAATACTTGTATAAACTATGCAGAAATTTTTAATAAAGTGTAATATATTTTATAAGCTAATAAGACTGAATGGGTAAAGGTTTTTAGCATGCATTAGTATACTTGCAAATACTGAAACATTTTGGTAATCTTTCTTACTAAAGATGTGAATGTTTAATGTACCTTCGCTGTTTCTACTCTGTAGTCCAATGGGAATTCAGTAATGACATTTTGTCATGTCAAACTGTGAACATAAATTTGTACTGTACAGTCCTCATATACTATATACAGTATGCAATATATGTATTATATACTTGTTAATAAAACCATCAGAATATTAAGTGTGATTGTGATTTCTATCTGTGCAGTGATCACTAGGAGCAGAGCTTGGCCATGGAACATGAAAGGGTTCTTAGAAATTGCAAAGCGAGTCACCCTTTGATAGGCAAATTCGATGGAGGGAAAGAATAAATTTAGGGGCGCCTGGGTGGCTCAGTGGGTTAAAGCCTCTGCCTTAGGCTTGGGTCATGATCTCAGGATATTGGGATTGAGCTCCACATTGGGCTCTCTGCTCAGCAGGGCTCCTGCTTACAACCCCCCCCCCCCGCCCCTGCCCCGGCCTCTCTGCCTACTTGTGATCTCTGTCAAATAAATCTTCAAAAAAAGAAGAAATCTAACTGGCATCTGCAAGAAGTAAGTTAACTTAGCCTTGAAGTCATGTCCCTGGGTTCTGGATAACAGCAGCAGGAAGTCTTCTAAGCCACAAACCATAACCTTGTAGACAACCCCCCCTCCCCCACCAAATCCACAACCTTACTTAGTGCATTCTTGGAATATTTTTTATGATACCCACCTCTTTCCCAAAAAGGATTTTTAGTGCCTTGAATTAAAAGAAATACAATGTCTAATACATATATATTTAAGTTTTTAAATAAGAGATTAGTATTCATAGCTTGGGGAGTGGGGAATCAAACAGGACAGTAACTGCATCAACTAATTCTGGATCAACTTTAAAGCCCTCAGTACACCATGTCCATGGACACTGCTATGTCCTTAGTAGCCTAGGAACAACAAATGGTTTCTGATGGGGACTTAAGAGTTCTTGTATAAAGCAAAATGTAATCACCTCTTTACCCTCCCCCTAAATGTAATTGAAAGTAATGGGGCGCCTGGGTGGCTCAGTGGGTTAAAGCCTCTGCCTTGGACTCAGGTCATGATCCCAGGGTCCTGGGATCGAGCCCCGGATCAGGCTCTCTGCTCAGCAGGGAGCCTGCTTCCCTTTCTCTCTCTCTCTCTGCCTGCCTCTCTGCCTACTTGTGATCTCTCTGTGTGTCAAATAAATAAATTAAAAAAAAAAAAGAAAGAAAGTAAGATAGTGGCTTGTTAGGTCTCACCACAGCTACCTTCAGCCTGGACTTCGATTGTAGCATAACATAAAATACCATGGCTGGCCCTTGCTACATGATACCTGCACAGCTTGGAGAGGGGAAGAAGGTATGGGAGGAGGCTGAACTCAAACCTTGAAGCACTCTCCAGGTTTCCCTGCTTTTACACTGAGATAGTTGACTGTAAACTCAAAAGATACACATGACTGTTACATCGCAGTGGAACACTGGCTTGGATTGGTCCAGGTGATTGGGTATAATCTTCCAACCATATTTTGTGTATGAGTGACATGACATTTGCTGAGTTCAAAAACAGACCCATCTTTCCAAGGAAGTACTATATGAGAGCTGGATTCTGCCCGGGTGAATGATCAGAATGGTGACAGATGCAAATTTTACAAGAAACCAAATTCTTGGAGAAATGGTTGAAGGAAGGATGTTAAGTGTGTGGGCGTGCACACACACGCGCGCGTGTGCACGTGTGGATGCACAAATC